ATATATATATATATATATATATATATATATATATATATATATATATATATATATATATAAGCAATCTACATTCCCGGACATTTCCTATTTTTCGTACCCAAAAAAACGTCCGGCGGGGGGATTTCAAAATCGTCTGGGATTTTGGTCGACTACAGTGCAGCAGAACCGAGCCGTCTGCACCGCGGTCAAGTTGGTTCAAAGTTGGATATTGGATATTCAAGCTCTGTGGAGTCAGCGGGATCTAGCAAACGACTGATCCGACTGAGGGACTCCGATGTCGGCCAGTTTCTCTCAGCTGCTCCCTCACCCAGCACGCGTGGTGCATTTAGGGACCGTAAACAAATCTTTCAACCAAGCACTTTTGAGAAACAAATATAAATTAATTCCTTATCTTATGACCTGCTAAGACGAATATAAAATCATGCCATTAGATATCATATGTGAGGCACAGTTGCTTTTATGCAATTTCAAGCTATTTTCAATTTTTAATAATAATATTATAATAATATGATATTTTATATTTCTTCAATAGCTTCCAGGTCATGTGACCCACTGACTCCAAATCTATGTCAAATGGTTCTATTACTTAGCCAGATGGGGGCACACTCATTTTTATTCCCTTTCAAGCCATTGTATTTGCCTGCCCCAGTAGGTGGGAACCACAGTAAGGCAGGCGGGGGGAAGCATACGGTCACCGGATCGTGTTCGGACGCTTCTTCCCCGGCTGGCTCTGGACCGGGACCACGCTCGGTTCAAATGCCCGGTCCGGTCCAGTCATCAGGCCAGCAATCTCCCCAATCCCCCCCACCCCAAACCAAAAAAAAAAGTGTCCTCCTTTTCAGAAACCAGAAATCTGGTCACCCTAGTTTTAGTTTTCCGTTGTTTAAGTTCTGTAAAAATCTTATTTAAGGAAATTTTGCTATCCATTTACTAATCGAAAAAATAATTGGCAGATTAATTGATTAGCAAAACGATTGTTAGTTGTAGCCCCAATTTAAGCATTTTTCAAAGTGTTTGTTTTGTGCCTAGATGCCGCTGATAGATATTTCTCGGAAGAAAAAAAAAAAAGAACCTGATCCGGAGCACTGTTAGCTTCTCGCTCAATTAATTGGCAAATAATCAGTTTTCTAGCCCATGATTCAAATCATCTACTGACTAGTGTCTCAATTACATCCTCAACTCAGGAAAAGATGTACTCATTTGGAAAAAAAGGACTTATTTAAATTTACATTTTTTTGTAATTTAGGTTTAAAAGTGTGTATTTTATACCTTTTAAGTGTCGTTAGCGTAATATCATAGACTGTGATTTCATATTCATATTAATAAATGACCTGGATCAGTATCAGGGCTCTAATCATGACCATCTTGAGAGAAGTTTTTGTAAAATGAAGAAATTAAAGTCTTAGAAATGTTGCGATTGTTATCTCCAATTAGAAATCTTAGATATAATGTTCCACTGCTATATGATGGGGTCAACAACATAACTCCATAACTATTTCTTGTTCATTTTTGTCAAAATGTATAACTTGTTTGTTTCCTGGACTCTTTAGGTAATCTTGATAGAGTTCCTTCCTAAAATCCCCATCTTCAAACCGGATTAAGGAGAGAACAGAAAGGCCAAACCCTTCAGCGCAGTCCAGCTCTGTCCAGAGGCTCCAATGGCTGTGAAACCCCTTCCTCTCAAATACTTCACTTGTGTTTACACCGGTCGCCCCTCTTTTCTCAAATGTACCTGTTCTACATCTTTGTTTACAAATCAGCCGGTTCACTGCTTTTTTTTTTATGTTGCCATTAAAGTTTGGCCTTCTGGTCAGGCTGATGCTCTGTTGACCAGCATCAACCTGCAGGGTGTAAGTGGACAAGCAGCCATGGGTGGGGATGTGGATTTTGGACCTAAACAGAAGACTTGACCCTCAAATGGAGTTCTGTGAGGACAGAAATACTGGACATTTGTGACTCTTATCCCTAAATTAAGCACATGGCACAGTCAGACTAATACTAACCTTTTACTGTGTCACACCATTACTCTTTCTTTTTGGTTGTTGTTGGCTTGGTGCCCTGGATCTGCACCAGAGGCTGTGGAGACGAGATGGGACAGAACATCAGAGTTCATCCAAATAAACGTTTAGGTTCACTCATCAACCTCTGGATGTCTTTTTGCCCTGTGCACAACCAGTGACAATCACAAACTCTTTCTGCTCTCTTTAGAGCATAAATGGCTCTTTGTGCTACACAGTTTATCCAAAGCAGTTAGGTTTCAATGTTGTTAGTGTCCACGTGATGGACTGGTCGCCTAGCAACTGGGCAAAGAAAAAAACATACTTCCTTTTACGATGTTCCTTTCATTAATGGATCTGGTTTTGTTTACATTTTTGCTAATAGAAACAGTCGATTCTTGCAAAGTGTGTGGGTGGGTCAGACTGAAAAACAAGCAAAATTGAAATGTAGGAAAAACCTGCCAACAAAAGGTTTATTTCCCCCTTTTTTTTCTCTTTTTTTAGCCAATATTATGTTTTTTATTGTTTTGTGTACCCGCAGTGTTGTTAAAATTTTATTTTTTTGGCTATTGTTAAATCTATGGCAAAGTGTGGGCAGTGAAGCACTGTCAGCTGAGGACTTTTCATGACCTGTCACCTTACTGCAAAGCTTGACTTGTTCCTGGCTGTTTGAGTCCAAAACAAAGATGAGAGCTCTGCTGTATTTCAAACTTTCTTTCCAACATGTTTAAGGTTTAACAAACCAGGAGCAAGAATTAAGAGCTGCAGCAATGAGTTTTTTTTTTTTTACTAGCATGACTTCTAAGGTGAAAACCCCACAGATGTCACCCCTCATAGCTTCAATGTGCTTTGTTTACCGTTGGATCCAATTCTTTTTGTGGTGTGAATTTAAGCCATTTTAAGGTGTCACTCCTGTTTTTCTCATTTGAATACACCATCACCACAGATTCCCTGTATCCACAAAAGGATTTAAAACCATGTCTGCTATGAAGTTGCTTTTATTGAAAAACCACCGCTTAAATAACATTGGATTATACAGTTGACAGTCATTTTTGAATACATTACCCTGTAGTGTGCAGAATATTATAACCTGCTGCAGCATGATGAGATGACAGTTGCTTAATTAGTTGGGCTGTCTGCTGAATTAGCCATTTAGGTGGTTCCTGAAAAGAAAAGAAAAAAAGAATTTTGCATTTTTCCCTCCTTTTTTTTGTTTAACAGGAAAAATGTGTTTTGGCCTTTTTCAGGTAGCTCACCAGCAGTGTGCAGCAAACAGTGGAAAAAGAGGCACTGACTCCTTTCTCCATCTGATCAGACTGAGGCTAAATTCTAGCAACATTTTACCTGTAAATTGTAGCGGTAAAAAAAAAAATAAAAAGTTGGTATATGTTTATAGAGAAAGCAGACCTTATGTTACCCACTGTAGAGACTAACAGGCACATTCATGGCACCTTAACTTATTTTTCCCCCCATTAATTTCCAGACAACTCTAAGCACTGTTTAGTTTGACATATTTCCAACTTTTGCTAAAGAAACAAGTTTGGATCAACAAAGACTGGTTGTAAGAGCCCTCTATGTTTAGGTTTCTCCACGCGTGTCTGTAAAACGGTGTCTAAACATCAACACACATTGACTGAGAAACACATTTCTGTGGAATCTAAACAAAGCCACCGTTATAGCTGTGGTGACTCTATGGGTGGCACTCAGGGGACATAGATAACATAATGTAGCATTAGAAATATTCCTGTTGTCATTTATTTTCCACAGCCTCGACAGGGTGTCATGTACTGTATCGTAGTACAAAGACCACACATTACTTGAATAACTGTACAAATTATGCATTTGGAGTAAAAAAAAAAAGAAGTCAATATTGAGTTCCTGATGTCTTTGGTCTTTTCAGTTTGAACATGCTTCACCCACCTACACAGAATAAAAGTACTACTTTATCTTATAAAGAAAAACGATTTCCTGCTAATCGTTACTGATTGGTGTTTTGGTTCTTCTCTCACTTTTCTACTTTTTCTATTGTCCTCTGCTTTTCAAAATTAAAGGCATCAGGTGTTTCTTTTCGTTTTGGTATGTGCACAGTGTACGCCAGATGCATTCTGGTTTAGCTGATTGTGTGGTTGAGTTTTACACAGAAATGCATAAATTTTGTATGAGTGTAATCTGTGAATATTTGAGTGAGAAAAAGCTATATCCACATGTAGATATATGTACAGATGTAAAACTACCAATAAAAAGACCATGGAAATCTTTCTTCCTCCTCCTGTTTGATACATAACATTTTTTCCTACCAGGTTTGTGAAGATTGCCGCAAGGGGAATATGTTTTTTCCTCATTTTCCGTTTCTGGCCATAATGAAAGTTTATATTTTATACACCATACTTACTCATCATGCTCTAACAAGTTTGGCGTGTCGCTGTCAGAAAACAGAAAATTGAATTAATCATTTTAGAGCACTTAAAAGCCAGGAGAATTTATTTAGCTTGAATGAAAATGAGAAATTTATTTAATTTGGATTATAATTCACTTTATTTGTATACCAGCATCATGTAACAGTGAAGCTATTTTTATCAGACTAAAAGTTAAAGAGGACTCCTGCTGCACATTGTCCAACTTGAAAGAGAAGATATTTATTTGCAATGTTTCAGACCATTTGCTTTTTTCTCTTGCAAGTTGGACGGTGCAGAATTCCTCTTTAAATCCTGAGCAATTTTTCTCTTATGCAGCTGTTACCTTATAGATGTGCGAAGTGCTTTATTATATCAGACCAAAAGGAATTATTTTTAAGTCAAACCGACTCATGCTGTAGTGCATCATTTCAATAAATGTTACGCTTTGGCATGCTGAGAGAAATGTAAAACTAGAACAGGCTTCCTACCCATCGGGTCTGGTCTGCAGCTTTTAGGCCCCATTAACACTGCAGGCAAAAATGGCCAACATCTGATTTTTAAATGAACAGGTCAGGCTGCTTATGCCAAGTTCATGCAGTATGTGATCCCTAAACTTACTCTTATCTAATTCTTTTTTTTTTTTTTGGAATGTAACTCCAGTGTTAACAACCAAAAGGGCGTTTGATGTCACTTTACATCAAATTTTTCACAATTTTCTGCTGCCCTGCAGAAAACAGTAGCAGTTAGCAAAACAAACTGAAGCTGTGGTTTTTAATACAGAAAAACAACTGATAAAAATAAAATAATCCTGAAAATGTGTATTTCTCCCTAAGTTAAGCAGGTAGACAATGCAATAAGTATTTTGCCCCTTAAGTAAGATGGTTTGATGTTATGCTATTGAAATAAGAAAGCGATGTTTTTCTTACTATTTCAAGTGTAAATCATCTTATTCCATTGGCAAATTTTCTTCCATTTCTGCTGAAATCAAGTAAAAATACGATTTCATGAAACATCTTACTAATGTTTCTTTTTTTATGATGCACATTGGAGAGGCTTTTAGACCATAGAGCTTATTAAAAAAGTTTAAACTTGAGTTAGACGTGACAGAAAAAAGCCCTCCAGAATTGTGCTTCAACATTTATTCAATAAATCTATTCATCGTGCTGCTTCATTGTAGTACAGATGTAATATTTAGTTTATGTTATATTTTTAAACGTGGCTCTTAAGAAATAAATATCTCCCACCACTGCTTTATTGTCACAGATGGTAAAAAGTTCATGGACAATCTAACAAAGAATTTTCTAGAAGATGATGAATCTAATTATATGTGGCGAATATTTAAGTTTAATATGATTCTTGAAATATTGTCACTAGAAAGTTGATGAGGCTTTACGTATGCATTTCTCAGACCATAAAGACTTTGATGCTGTTGCTTTAACCCTTTATAGGGCAAGATACAGTTTTTGATCACTTGCATACCCCTTACAAATGGAGTCCCCCCCATCCCTCAGTGAGGTCTAGAAGCACAAGATCTATATCCAGCCATTCAGCAAAGATACAGCTACATGGCTGTACATCTTATCTTGGCATTTTACCAAATAAATGAGCCCTTGAATGATATATTACCTACTGTAAATTAAGTTGAACAAAGAAAGTTAACAAGTCAAGATAAAAAAAGGTAAAAAGCTAAATGAAAAGTTAAAAAGTAAAGTTAATAAGTCTAGGTAACATTTTAGATTTATAAACTAAAGAATGTAAGTGCCATTATCAGCATTAATGACTCTAAGGTTATGTTGTACCAAAAAAATGTGTTTCTTTTTCATGAATTTCTTATAGAAGCACTTTTGTTATTTTTCTTAATATATTTGGGCCAGTTTTGATTTTTTGAAATTTTGATATCACCAAGTGCCCTATAAAGGGTAAATATCATCTCCTGCAAGAGGGAAGCTGACAGCTAAATTTTGTAAAAAAAAAAAATACACGAAAGGTAGTTCTGAAATTCTGGCTGCAAACATCAACATCACAGGTAAAATCACACCACCTACCAGTAAAGTGTATCAAGAGTTCAGCACAGCATCGACTGATGGAGACAAACTTTGATCGACTGACACATCAATGTAGTTTCTATGTTGTAAATTGGTTTATTACAGATGGGGTCCCAGAACAGCTGGTTCACTAACAGCTTCTGGGGCAGCTGGTGGAACAGGATTTACAACAACATAAAAAAATAAACTCTCTCAACATTGATCTACTTTAAGATTTTTTTTCCCCCCTTAGGACTCCTGTAATAAAAAAAAAAAATCAGTACACAGGTCAAATCTTTTCCTTTCTGGATCATTAAGCCCAATTTAAGAGTTCATAGTTAATATATGCAAAGGTTGTGATAATGTATTTGAAACTATATCATGAACATTTTGAAAAAATCGTTTTAAAAACTCAATAAAATGTGATTTAATACCAACAATGATTTATCTATGATTTTTTTTGTAATAGAATATATAATAAAAGTAAAATAATGAAGTTAACAGGTTGCTGTGCTAATATTCCTGTGTGTACATCTTTGTTAAAGGGGTCATAGAATGCAAAACAGAGTTTCCATTGACATAGATGATGAACGATGTTTCAGAGGGTGAAATGGACGTACAGAGAAGTTCAAACCCCATCTCCTTTCTCAGAAAATCTCACAATTCTAAACTTCCACCATAAAACGGGCGAATCCTAACAAAGCCCAGAGTTGACGTCAATTCTTGGACGTTGCCTTATTTGGTTCTGGCCTGTACTTTTTAATACAACCCAACAGTTGGGTTTACTTCTACAAGAATTACAAAGCAGGCAGATTCTCTATTGAACCACAGGCGTAAATGCAGCGTTCCCGGCTGCACAGAGGAAACGGGACATTTTTCACAGTCTTCCCAAGGATCCGAAGATGGACAGGCACGGATTATTTTTGTCTATCAGAAGATCTCTGCAAAGTTTGATGCTCAGCTGTTCATTTGCTCTAAGCATTTTACCAAAGACAGCTTTCAAAACTTTGGACAGTTCAAAGCAGGATTTGCTAAACCTCTTTTACTGAAACGAGGGGCTGTTCCAACCGTAACGCCTTAAGCTGTTGGTAGCAATGCTAGCATATCTATGGTGACCAGATTTGATTTTCTAAAAAGGACGACACTTGTTTTGGGGAGGGGGGGCCACTGGCTGAACCGGACCTCACCAGAGAGCCATGAGCCGCCGGTCCTCAGCCGGAGGAGGGGGGCTGGGAGCCGGTAAGGCAGGCGGGGGGAAGCACGGGGCCGCCGGTGACCAGGCTACCATCACCGGGTCAGGTTCGGTCACTCCGTCCCCCTCTGGCTCCCTGCCCCCGTCCCCGGAGCTGATGGCTCTGTTCGAGGGCCCGGTGTGTTTCGACTACGTGCTGCACCGTAGTTGACCAAAATCCCAGACGATTTTGAAATTCGCCCCCGGACATTTTTTTAGCTATGAAAAGTAGGACATGTCCGGGAAAAAGAGGACGTCTGGTCACCCTACCATATCAACATTTTGATGTTTCAGTGAGTGAGTGCTTGTTGCGATGATGCGTCTTTGCTTAGCAGCTTCACTCGTTGTAAACCAACCAATCAGCGCACAGCTTATCTAAATATTCATGAGCATACCATAAAGGAAGAAAACCTGTAGTTACATTCTAGGGCTTTTAACCAGGCTGCATTAAGGCTCATAGAACAGCAAATATGTCATTTTCAGCCCAACCAATGTTACACACCCTATTCAGAGACCTTAGGGACCAAATACCCTATAGAATCATTCTATGACCCCATTAAGCATTTTTTAGAACATTACTGAATACTACATCCTTTTACACTCGTCCACATACCTTTAGCTGTTTCAAAAATGTTAAACGCCATTAAAATAGCCCAGGTGTATCCGTCTATGATTTGTCGAAATTCTATGGCATTCATGCCTGGAGTTGCAATCATAAGTCGTGCTGCCTCTTCTTCCATGACTTGTTGGGCTTTACCAAACATCTTATTGGTGAAGTATTTTCCTCCATTCCTTTGAACCATCTTGTTGATCTTCTCCAGCAGCTCTGTGACCTGAGATGAATCATTGTTTCTATTATTAAAGACATGATATCCTCCACCACACTGACTGATAAAAGCACGGAGAGAGGGATTTCGATCTATAAAATTTTCTGCTGAAGTTCCATCAGCTTCCAGATCATCTCCATGAGTGAACAACACCATGGTGTAACATGCTGCTTGTTCTCCAAATATCTTCTTGATGATCTGCAGTGTTCTTTGTTCTTCAGGTGTGAATCTGTTCAGCGCCATGACCACCAAGAACACATGAGGACCCGGTGCAGACAGCCAGATGCATCTCTGGATCTCTCTCTCCGTTTCATCTTCAGATTTAGCAGCATTGAACAGACCTGGAGTATCAATAAATTCAAGTTGCTGACCCTTAAACATCCCGGTTTTTCTCTGACACGTTAATGTTATTGTAGATGGAGACATGTAGGATTCAAAGGCTTTCATTCCTAAAATAGTATTTCCTGCTGCACTCTTCCCACTTCCAGTTTTCCCAACAGAGACAATCCTGAGGGTGGACTCATCCGGCGCTGTTTGAAAATAAACAAACACATTTATTTAATGCCACCATTCTTTAAGATTTTCTATAAAAACATATGGTGACGTTCACTGGTGGCAGGTACAGAAAAGGGGACAGGATGAAGTGAGGCTGTATAAAAATGTACTTGGTTATTCTCAATGGGGGACCAAGACACTCTAAAGGGTTCATTTTATCCAACTCATTGATGGAAATTAGAATATGAGATCATAATTCTTATATAGATTCTTTGTTGGTTTCCTTCTACATACTCAATAGCTTCTGAAATTCATAATTTTACAAATAAAACAAGGGAATATCAGACTCCATTGTTTGTTAGAGACTTCTCTGTTCAATATGCTAAAAGTATCCTGGGATATAGGATGGTATACTGCAGGTCCTTTCCGTTTCAGGCATCTTTTGATATTGTTCAGTCCCTGTCAGTTCGGTTGAGGTTCATGTTTAATGGAGATAAATTAAAGTCTATGCTTTTATCTAATGGCAAACAGCCTCCTTCTCAACTCCACAGTGTATGATAAATTTAAACAGTAAAATATTAACTTCTTGCAGTTTTAATTTACAAGATGTGTTTTAAATTTCACATTCATAAATAAATTTCAAATTTTCAACTTAAAGTGGGTTTCTTTCTTTTTTCTTAGAAATAAATAATTTGTTTTTCTTTGCCAGTTAGAAAACATTTGATCACCTCTATTTTTCCCCTTTTTGGACTATAGAGACCTGCTTTTCGGACATGCTCCACCTCTTTCAAGGAAATTAGAAACTGTTTGTTACTGTGAATTGTACCATTTGTACCAGTGTATCATTGTTCCTTATATGCGGTTGCACATCTCAATTACTGTATGTAGGTTCTCCCACTGTATGACTTTTAGCTGCAAAACCGGTCTTAGACTTCTAACTACATAATAATGTTCACTCTTGTGAGGAAACTTTAACCAATAGTCTTTGTTCTCAGGTCATCTTACTGATGCAGGTCCCACAAAAAGCTTTTTAAATTCTCCGCCCCCTCCACCTATATATACTGTTGCACCATAGAAATTGCAATTAAAAACAATTTTATCTCTGAAGGAATTCAAATATTCTATAAATTTGACAATACAAAGCGTCACTGGATGTGGGATCTATACTTTGTAAACTGTTAATATTGTCTGTGATTTATGCGTCTATTTTTACTTGCATTAACAGCATTGCCTGCGTTTCAGTGACGGCAAACAGGGTTTCTCAAAAATTTCAACCTTTAAATACAAATTCCAGAGAACTTGCTAGGAAGCATTCCTCATTAACAACTGGCCAAATGATGCAGAGCGATGACTCACTGACTAATGTGATGTGACTTTGATGCTCTAATATTCTAACAATGACTTATGAGCCTGGAACTCTCAGCTTACAGTCAGAACTAACCAGTTTGTTTTGAATTAAGAGAAAATTCTTCAAGAACCAGAGAAGTCCAACTAACTTTATTTTATTTTGTTTTATTTTATTTAGGACTTGCATAAACATAAACTGTCAAGGTTGGGGTGGAGGTTGGTTGAGGACCAAAATGCAGAGATGAGTTTAACTGATTCAATAAAAAAAAGCATAACAGAAACAAAACCCAAGAACAAAATACAGGAAACCAAAAAACCATGAGACGTCAGGGGAAAACAAACACCTGAGGAGCCAAGTAACAACAAGAAACCGGCAATGAGGAACTTCACAGGAGGTGTATATATATGGGGGAACAGAACAAAGACTTGGCTAATCAGTTGATTGGGAGCAGGCATGGATAGAAGGAACTAGAAGGGAGCTAGAGGAAAGGAGACCGGCCCCATGGGGCAACAGAGAGTAGCTAAAAAAATGCAACACAGCTTAAATATAAAACAAAATGTCAAAAGAAACCAATGACCAACAAAACAGAATTACATAAATAACTGAAAACCTGAACAGAAACTCAAAAAGAAGTCAATAAAGGGAGAACCATAACATAAACTCAAAGTGACCAACAACATGTGAGTTAAAGCATAACTTATTTTACCTATTTCTGAGATGTTAGAATAGGTTTATGATAAAATATTCTTTTTAATAAGCATTTTTGACTTTCAGTTAATTCATACCTATTTTGTCTAACTTAGTGCAAGTTTTGAACACAGTTTAGTTGCAATTTATTTAGCCTAAACAATGTATATGCATCAACAAAATTACTCCAGCCTGATTACTTCCAGGCATGATAGGTTGTTAATTGTAGCCTGATAACGTGCTTGATATATACTGCCTTCCTAGAAACAATACCAATTATTTGGGGTATATTTCCTGAATCTACTCCAAATAATAGAATATATTTAGATCAACAAGCATTTAATAAGCTTTCCAAAATATACTCATGTTTATAAATGCAATTCACTCGCATAAAAGTTAAACAGACCTACTTTGCCATAATTTACATGTGGTTTTCAGTTTAAAGATCATTACTTAAGTATTCAGATCAGTTTAATGATCCTTTGAATGTATATTAAATGGTACAGTATGAAATATATATTTACTTTTATTTAACTAATACAGGGAAATATACTAGTCTGCAGAAATTTAAGTTTTATCATTAGAGGGCCTACCTGTTGTTGAGAAACTGGCAGACATTGTATAATTTTTCAAATAAATCCAACATCAGTTACAAAGTAAGTTACCTAATGAATAAGATGTGTTGGCTGTTCCATCTTAGCTTTTGGAAAGCCTTTCTGTTTCTGAAGAATTATATAAAGTTATTAAAAATGAACTAATGTTTTTTTCTTTGAGTGTTGAGGGAAAACTTTTGAAGATATTATCATTTTAAATAAGTGTGAAGTCGTCGATATACTCACGAGGCAGAGCAAGTAAGTGGGCCATGTTTGAGGAGTTGATCTGTGAATGTCGAGTTGCTGCTGATGTCTTTTGAACAACAGCTTTGCTATCTATAGAAATGCAATTATTCAGCCGTTGGCCACTCCCTGAGAAAACACCTGAGGGGTTTTTGCACAAACCTCAGAAAAACAAATTATACGCCCTATTCTGACTGACTTTTTGCACAACATGTTAAGCCACAAGTACTTGGCTTCATAAGAATAATGTGTCACCTGCTTAATGCCATTATAATCAGAGACAGGTTCCACCAGAGTGATAAATACTTGATGAATGAATAGGCAGAAAAATAACATGAGTCAACAGGACTGCATAAAAGGGGAAAACATTATTTTATGAAGAAACAATTATAGAAAAACATAAATTAGATAGGAAATAAGGCTAGCTTTTTTTTCAGATTAAGTAGCTTTTCTTGCAACATGCAAAATCAATCTGCTATTCAGATTTAAGAAATTTACCCAGATGAAAAAGGTATATGTTAATTCTATAGTTTTTATTTATTTTGGTTGAACTTTATATGTAATGCATCAGACACTAAAATCCAGGCCCCCCACCCCTCTTTTATAAGATGCTATTTAAAAAAAAAAAATAGGTACATAAAACATAAAGACATCATATATTGTCATATGTTTACTTTACAATAAGATAATTTATGAATGTTGGTATTTGTTCATATAGATAAACCATTAATAGTATTATAAAGGTTGCACATAGTAAATAAAATAAAAAAGATATGAAAAACATGTATAGAAAACATAGGTTGACATATAATTTACTTTTTTTTGCTACATATATAGTTCATATATGTTTGTTGTGAAAGTCATTATCCCTTATTGTATGAAATGAATGTGAGCACTATGAAGAATAACTTCCATACACCTTATATTATGTACAATATATGAAATTTAAACTGGAGATGATTGAATGCTTAACTGCTGTTTAAGCAGTTTTTTTGGGGGGAGTTTTTTCATGGTTTTCGCCTGTCGTATAAACTTTTTTGGAACTGCTGCCTCTTTCACCTTTGCCTTGCATCAACTGATTGCAACCAGATACTTCTCAGCTTTTTGCTAGATCTTCAATTTGCTTTACTATTCTACCTCCTTCACACACAATTGTTAATTCCTGCACCACCAGCAGATTCCTACCTGCTGGTTGACTATCACTAAAGAAACAGTACAGTAAAGTGCATCTACTAATAGTTAATTTGACTAATTTCTCCCCAATTTTGTGAAGTTGTTTAGCGGACTTTGGTCACTGAGTCAGAGTTCTCCACTGAACAAATCAACAAACATATCAGCTTTGGATTTGGTTATGGTTTGTTGACCCGAAATCAGAGGCAGGAAGGAAGAGTTGAGATTTCTTGGTGATTTAATGAAAGTAAACTGAAAACTGAGGCAGGTTATCGAAAAATCCAAAATGAAAACAAAGTCCAAAAAAACATGAAACCAGGAGTCCAAAAATCCAAAGATCAAAAACATGAAAACACAAGTCAGAACGTACCAAAAACCATTGAGACATCAGGGGAATCACTGTAACAAGGATAAGGCTCAGAGAGACGAGTTGGAGGAAGTTAGACGAGGACCCAGCAGAGAGGAACTGAAGAGAGAGCATTTATAGAAGACAGAAACAAAGAGAGGGCTAATGAGCAGATTGGGAACAGGTGAGCAGAGAGCAGATCAGAAGAGGAGCTAGGGAAAAAGGAGAACACAAAAGGGCAGCAAAAAAACAAAACCTGGAAGACTGAAAATAGCTAGAAAACACAACAAAATAAGAATTAAACAACTAAAACTATAAAAACATGGAGCAAGGTAAAACTAAACACTCAAAAGAAAACATAACAGAACCAAGACTAAGATAGTAACTAAGAAAAAGAACAAAGAACACAATAAAGTAAGAATTAAACCATAAAAAACTATAAAACAAAGAGCAAAGCAAAATTGAACATCCAAAAGAAAAACATAACAGAAACAGAAACCTAACAGGATTCAAGAGGATTAACGCTGCAAAACATAGATAAACCACGCAAACACCAAGACTTAACAGTGTGAGATGTAACATTGACTTTATTTTGATAATATTCATCCGCATCTACATACCTAACCTAGAAAAACAGGTGATGTTTGTTGATTTACTGTTCAATAAATGAAACACAAGCAAACTGCATTCATTAAACGTATAGTGGAGGATGTTCTTTTTCCGGGTGGATCATCAAAATAAGTGGTCCTCCTAATTGTCAATCATTCTGTTGATATGTTTATGTAGCACCGTTGTACGTGCTCGTCCCCAAACTTTTTCCCTTACTGATGGTGAGTCTGACATAGTGGAAAATTTGAAATCTTCTTTTGGAAGGTAAGCTTGTATGAGCGATGCAAACTGCAACATTTAAAAAGAGCGTGCACGAGGAGAAATGGGCTTGTGCACGCTATCGCACGCGTTTAACAGGCGTTCCCTCTCGGGAGCAGATACAGAGTTGTGCATGTGCATTTTTTTTATTTTATTTTTAAGTGGAAAGGACAGATCTTTTAAAAAAAAATTGTGAAAATCCTCCAGTATACCTTAAAGTACATCATGACATCAAAGCTCCATTTTAATTTCAGTCATAAGTCCATATTAACAAATCTTTAATAAATTAAATATGAATGAAACTAAAAATTATTTCCATACAGATGACCAGCAATTAGCTTTTTGCAAAAACTCTCTCAGTTAACAAACATGTCAAATACAGCATCCAGAAATCTGGCCACCCGTTGTCCCATCTTGGCCTCCAGAACTGCGTTGAGGGCGCTGAGCCCCTCAGTGGGTGTCATGTTCTCGGGGCAGAGTTCTAGTTTCATAAAAAAAAAGTCAGTGATAAACAACCGGCAGTAAACATATGCTAGAAGAAAGTGGCCATATTCTTACCATTTTCTGGGTTTAATATTATAGGTGTCGGCATCTGAAGGCATTCTGCTTGCTTTTTCAACAGTTCCACTGCAGCTGCGGAAACACTCCGGCTCTTACCTACAAATAAAGGAGTTAATTTTTATTCTTATGTTATTATAGACCAAGAAAAGCCTGTGCAAAATGTGTCATTTAAAAAAAATGTTTAGTGCCAAAGCATGGAACAGAAAAGCAGCATTATTAAACCTCTTTTGAAAAACTGTAAAAATCTTCTATAAATTATTATTCTCACTAAACATAAGAAGACTGATGAATTTATCTGTTCCAGCAACGATATCCTCTTTGGCAACCAGACAGTCGGCACATTCTGTTGACAGGTAGACTTCTTTAAGGTAGAAAGGTTGCTCTGTGGACAGCAAACGCAGCATGAAGCAGACAGAGTAGTAAATATGAACCATCTTCCCTCCGTTCCTCCTCTTTACTTACCGATTAACATAGTGCTGTTCTCAAAGATCACATTGTAGGATAAACTAGAACATTGGCCCATTCTGGAGGTAAAGAGCATAAGATCTCATTGTTGATTATCATTTGCATGCATTCAATAATTAACCAAATGAAGCAGTTAACCAAGATGTGCGTTAATCCCTCAGGAAAACTCTGTTTTGTTCCTATCCTGTGTCATTTTACAGCAGCCTGGAACGTAACAGAGACATGTGGACCTGGAAGTTATGTTCATAAATATCTAAATGTTAGTTATTGCCAGATAAGCAGAGGTGAGCGCTATTGAGAGTACATTTAGCCGAGTAGTTTTTCTAAATATGAAACTGTAAGAGTATTTTAAACAGCATCTTACTTTTCTTCTACTTTAATCATATTACTTTGAATGACGGCATGCTGCTCATTTCTGGCTGTTCTATGTCGAACAAACAGGCATCACATTAAAACTCATCTGTTTCCATGTTCTAATATCATTTTCTATGTGGTGTGCGTCCTCCTTTCTTAAAGCAAGTGAATATGTGGTAAATGTTACATTTTGTTAGCAAATGTACCGTAATACAAATTTAATTTCCTTTTAAACACCAGCACTATTTTGTCCAAAGCCGTACATTGATTATTTATTCTCCAGATGCACAGTATTTATGTTGTAAAATCACTGTACAGTACAGTATTTTATTTGTATATTTGCCTAACTCTGTCACTTATTTTGTTATTTTTATACACTTTTTAAGATCCACATGTGTGTGACCACTTTTGCTATAATCTTTGGCAGCTGTAACATTACAATTTCCCCACTGTGGGACAATAAAGGGATTTTCTATTCTAATTTATTTTATTTTTATTTAAGGACTGATTTCATCAGACAAAATCTATCTAATATTTCAAAAATAAATCAGACAATAAGATCAAACAGTTACTGTACTAATTGGTTTTTTTGTGTGTAACTTGAGTAACTTTTTAAGAGCTTCATATCACCTCAACTGACATGTTTATATTTACTATTTGACTGTTATATCACCTTATTTAGTTGTGTACCAACATATTAGATGAATAGCATTTTATTATTCATACTCTTTTGGGCATTGTTGAAAAGTTTTACGTCAGTTTTTAAACTCCGTATTTAAAATGCAGATGCATCACCACTTTGGAATTATTGTATAATGCTGTTTAAATTTATCCGCAATGACCCAGTAAAAATATTAGTGTATCTCAGGCTATGCTATACAGCTAGCCTGGGTGCCATTCCGAACTTAGTCCCGCCCACAAGGTTTGAGGTCGGGAAGTTAGGGTAGGACTACGTCAGGCTACTATACAGCAGCTTTTGTCTTAAGTAATACATTTTAAAGATTTTTTTCACTTTTAACTCATCTGCATTATTGAACAATACTGCAGAGGGCAGCCATTTAATTTAATCCCCTTCACAAATCGATGATTTTTACGTTGGGGTTAATTCTTCTCTGTGCAGTGCTTAAAAAAACAAAAAAAACTAGCCCCTTTAAAAA